GAAATTGAAAATGAACTGATTCTAAAAAAGCTGTGGTTTGCCACCATGCCCCATAGTGGCAAAGCAGAGAGTTTTTAGACTCTCCCTCAAGTTCACTTTTGAGTCCTATAAGTAGACCAGTAAAATATCATGGATACCAGCATTACATTACATAAGAAATTGGTTTAAGTCTTGAGTAAATGAGGAAATTAAAAATGAATTGATTCTAAAAAATCTCTGGTTTGTCACTATGCCATGCCCCCCTCAGATCAATGAGCTGTGGGAAACTCTGGCTAACAGTAAATCTGCTTTACACAACACAGCCACTGCTGTTCACAGTTCACACCGTTCACAGCGTAAGAGCACAACTGGCCTGAGCGCAACAGGCCCTACCACAACAGTGGCGCAGCCTTGCAGGTTAGGTTAGGTTACGTTAGGAGTAGGCTAGGGCATAGTGGCAAAGCAGAGAGTTTTTTAGACTCTCCCTCAAGTTCATTTTTGAGTCCTATAAGTAGACAAGTAAAGCATAGTGGCAAAGCAGAGAGTTTTTTAGACTCTCCCTCAAGTTCATTTTTGAGTCCTATTATTATTATACTCCTATATGTAGACCAATAAAGTATCCTGGATACCAGCATTATCATACATAAGAAATTGGTTTAAATCTTGAGTAAATGAGGAAATTACAAATGAACTGATTCTAAAAAAGCTCTGGTTTGCCACTATGCAGCGAACGGAATTCGAATACGTTGATGTCGGCATTACGTATCAGTTAAATTTGAAGCGCTGACGCAATACGAATCACCACGTGTCGAATATTGCCACACACAGTGACGGAATATAGGGATTTGGTAGGTTTCCATTCTAAAGGCTTTTTAATAAATATGGCAACATTTTGTGACGTTTCATCGTTGCTGACGCGTAGTGAAGTGTTTTGAGAGTCATGTGAAGGCAACAGAACTTACGTAACGCATACGGTTTTTTTTATAGTTTTTCATTTCTCGATGCATCCTTAATGTGTCGGAATATACCGCGTTTACCCTAGCCCATAGTGGCAAAGCAGAGAGTTTTTTAGACTTTTCCTCAAGTTCATTTTTGAGTCCTATAAGTAAGTAGACCAGTAAAGTATCTTGGATACCAGAATTATCCTACATAAGAAATCTGTTAGAATCTTGAGTAAATGAGGAAATTAAAAATGAACTGATTCTAAAAAATTTCTGGTTTGTCACTATGCCGCTGTATGCTCTCTGGCCTGTGACTGAACGGCGCGGTTGTGGTGGGCGCTTTCAGCTTTGTGTCACAGTCAAAAGCCGTGAAGATGCCCACTTGCCCAGCTGCGTTATGCTTGGGAAGTTGGGAGTTGGGAAGGTATTGGTATATGAAATATTATTTTATGAATCGCACTGTGGACTTGGGCTATGGCTATGCTGAGTGCTGACCTCTAGCTATCCACCCCAATTTAGCTATATTCATCATAATTTGATTTGACTGATTATACTGTGATTAGTATTTACAAATTACTAGTAAATTGGATAATAATAATCAATATAGTCAACTAATATATCAAGTGGGCCCCTAATGATATGCTGACTGTCTCACTATTTCTTTTATGCTTTTTATATTTTTTCAATAGAAACCCTATTGAAAATGTTTATAGCATTTATCCACTTTAAATTGGTAATTGATAGGTTTTTATGTTCTATAACTTTTTTGTGGAGACTAGACACTAGAGAGTGTTTTTTCTGAGCCGTGAATAGAGCTTTCTTGTCACTTTTGGATCTGCAAGATTCCTTTTAGGCTAAATGAATTACCTACTACTATAGTACTACTACTAGGGTTACAACTTACACGCAATTACACAGTATCTAATTGTTAACAGTATGAGTCTGAACTGATTTGTGTATGATCAGGCTGCTTCAGGCATGGCCCACATGGGCACCAACAAGATTATAAATTTATTGAAAATCTAACTTGAATGCCGCAATATTTCAGTATAAAGTAAGAAAATGTAAATCTGTAGCAGCAACATTCACAAACCTGCATTTGTACAGATCCTGTCCATAGATTGACGGGCATAGAATTTAGAAATAAGTATAGTCAGATGGGGTAAGACGGGATCACAGCCTTCATTGGATAAGAAATGACTGGCCTGTGACATGCATACTGATACTGATTGTATCAGTACAATCAGTACTGATGTGACAGTGAGGGGTGTGATTGGGATAGAGTGGGATGAAAAAGAGGAAAAGAGTAATAAATGAGGACTCCCTAAGACTGTATCAGATGAAAACGATGCCAGAATATGATTATATGTATGATGGTAGTAGAGGTGGGGAGTGGGGACCTCCTGTTTTGTGTTAGGGCAGGCGTGCTAGGTGTGAATGGACGTACATACAGGTGGAATGAAAGGAGAGAAGATAAATGTTTTATGTGTGATGGGGATGAGAAGGAAACTGTAGAGCACTTGTTGATGGAATGTGGGGCGTATGAGAGAGAGCGTCAGTCTATGATTGAGGTAATTCCGAATGAGAGAGGTGAGACTAACGAGGTGGGGCATGAGAGAACAAGCAAAGAGTGGATGGCGATAATTATGGGTCTGACTGAGGGAGCAACTGCGGCTATGTTTGAGAGTGTGAAGAGATATTTGGAAAACGTGTGGAGGATGAGGGAGAGGAGGAGGATGATAAGAGTGAAGTCTTGAGGAATGGAGGGTTGTGAGAGGGGAGGGTGGGAAGACATATATGACCGTGCCGAATTGTTTTAGCACGTTGTTTTACTTTTTTGGGATTGTCAAATTTTTATATTTTTTCTTAGGACAGCTGTGAATATGGTATATTTGAACTTTTTTGTTAACATAATAGTGTGAATTTTTAATTCTTTTTGATGCTAGTAAAAGCTTTTAGGCAGCGTGTATGGCCGATTTAAAGGTCGTGACTGTAGGTCACCACGCACCCCAATTCCAATTGCACTGAGTTCAATTTGATATAAAAATCTGTTAAAGCAACTATTTCCTGTCATTTCAGTGTTTGTTTCAACAATGTACTGCAAATAATGAATTCTAGGCAATTTTTTTTAAACCTATTTGCAGATAGGCCCGAAAATAGTTGACCTTATTTGAGAAATACGCTCTGTCTAGTGACATAATATTTTTTTGCCATGTTTGTGAATTTATTCAGGTAACCTCAAGTAAGAAGTAACTTTTGAGCCATACCAGACATTCATACCACTACCAGTTACCCTTACAGGCCTTACTGCCTGATGTGGATTCTAAAATGGGGTAAAAAAGGACTGGACATGGGGTAAGATGGGACCACCAAGGCACCAAATGATTCAGTTTCATCCCACAAGTGATCCTGTCTTACACTCAAATGGTCCTATCTTGCCTCATAGATTAAAATTATTCATCAGACATATATAGGGAGTATTAAAATGAAATTTTCATCTGTTGCTCAAAATAACATATTTTTATCTTCATAAAGTAACTTTGTGGAGACCAAAACAGGGCTCATATATGCATGCAGTGTTACTCATCACCTTCCTTTTCACAGGAATAAAGAGCTAGACATTTTATACAAGAACAAACAAAACAATACAATAACAAAAGAAAACAAAAACAAGTGCCCATCTAGCATAGCATTTCTAGCTAGACCTGGGACAGCAGAAGGCAGAAGGAGATATAACTTATAAGCATGTAATATGTGCCATTTGGCCCGGTATGCCCAAACTTCATAAATAAATTTTTCCAGTTTCCTGATGTAGAGGCAACAGCCGCATTCTTCAAAAAATCAAAGAAAAAATTTTGCGCCAAGATTAGACTAACAACCATGGACTTGGTAATGAAATACATATATATATGGTGACAGACACAAGGCCTGCAGTAAACTATAATAATCTGTAAGCACCATTTTTTATTTAAAAAGATAAATTTCTTTGTCATTTCATTATCTAATGTTTCTAGATGAATAATATTAAATATCAAGTCCTTAATTTGATTAAAAACCTAGAAATCTTGAAGTTAGAGGCTGGTCCTGTCTTACCCCAACACGGTCCCATGTTACCCCAGTGGGGTAAGATGGGACCAGCCCACTTTTTTTGCTTTGTACAAAAAAAGGTTCAATTTTAAAAAAGTCTGAGTTGGGGGATAGAAGTCAATTGCACCAACATACCATTTGATAGTTTTGAGGTTTTTCATTTATTCATGGTATAGGTGCTACATGCTTGTTAGTGATTTTGGTCCTGTTTTCTCCCTTCTGACTATATATAACCCTCCTACAGGAACACCAACACAAAGACATCAATTTATTATGTTGGGCAGAAGTTTTCTAAAATTGCAGGTAAAAACAATTGTTTCATAGGTGCTTTAAAAAAATTGCAGGCATAAATAGGCTGTTTTTATTTTTTAAGTAACAAAATTAGGGAAAGGCCATAAGCATAACCCCTTAAGAATGGGTGAAATTTACTATGTGATTTGCAAGAATTTTTTACTGACTGTGATTTATGGGTGGCATCTGCCCAATTTTATACTGTGGCCCAATTTTGGAATATTAGGCAGATGATTTCTAAAATCATGAGTGAAAATAGGCTATTTTCTTATTTTTCACTGAAGATATTGGAAGCTGCAAAATTGGCCAGATTCATGGGTGATTCAGCCTCTAGCCCAATTTTCCACTTAAAAAATTGCCCAACACAGTTTACATACCATTTGCCTTCTGGAATATCAGGCAAAATTTTTCTAAAATTGTGGGTAAAAATGGTTGTTTCACTGGTATAATTTTTAAAAATTGCTGGTGAAAATAGGCTATTTTTTCTGGAGAACTTTGAAATGGGTCATAGGAATGGGTGAAATTGGCCAGATTCAAGGGTATTTCAGTCTGATACACTTTCTTCTTCTACCCAAATTCCCTGTTTGAGGTTACATGGGATGATGGAAGACTGAGAATTTCATTTTAAATATATATATATACTCTGAATGTTTTATGGCTAATTTAATGCCTCTAATGATTTACTCATTCATCTTTGTTTTCAGAAATTTGTTTCCTTGTTCCTCTATTAGGCACGCATAACCATTAATTGCAAGTTTATTTATCCAAACATATCATCCATGATAGCTCACTCATTTGGTATCAAAGCAACTTTATTGTACAGCTGAATTTGAATTTTTAACATTAAATAGACTATAATAACATAGTCATGCCAGTGCTAGCGACTGGAGGTGCTCCAATTTACAATTCCTTGAAAGCCATCCGTTTGATGAGACATGGATGTGCTAACAGGCCATTTTATCACATCGTCATCATGGGTGTAAGTTATTTTGTCTCAAATTAAATAAAACCTTTGCCTTATTACAACTGGAAAAGCTTTTGTTCATACAATGATGAATGTGTTGCATCTGGTACTTTTCAATTATTGCTACAGAATTTTTCAATGATCTTCTTTCTTCATATTATTTTTACTCGAGTAAAAAATGCTGTTCACAATATTAATTTGTTAAATTTATTTCTCTTAATTGCTTTGCCTCTAGAGAGACATCAATAAGTTGACAATTATCAAAACCTATTACCTGAATTTCAGTGATATTTCAAGTGATTTTAACATTCAGTGTTTTTTTTTTACCATGATCTTCCAACAGTCACGGCGTTCAAACAAAGGCACATACCCTGTTATAGAACAGCTTGGCACCTATGATCCCCTCACCAATGTTCATGGCGAGAAGCTCGTATCAGTCAACTTGGATCGCATAAGCTATTGGATGGCACAGGATAAAGTCAAAATTGCCGTCGGCGTAAAACAATTATTGGGCAAGTCTTTGATGAAAACATCAATTTTATTGATTTTTAATTAAGAGAGATCACATTTGCTTATGTATACATTAACAATTTTATTCAAAAGAAAAAGAAAAGAAACTTAACCTCCAATCAGTATAAATAAAGTTTTTTTTGTTTATTCCAGTTTCTTTTCTGATGTATTTAAAATTTGAACTTGTGAAACTCAGTGTTTAAAAATTGACTCTGATTTTTACAGACTAATGCACTTGTAGTTCTTGGATAATAATGAATCTAGTTCTTTAAGAATACTACTTACACCTATTTTTGTGCAGGTTTAATGGGCTTCCTGCATATTCATCCGCAAAGTTACATCACTGCTTGGAGAGTTCGAGCAATAGCCAAGAGGGAAGCTTTGTCAAAGCAACAAGCGGAAGATCAAGAAGCCAGTATGGGTTGAATCATCTCTACCCTCTACGTCCTTTGTTAATAATTTTTAAATATAACGTTTTTTGTTTCTGTTGTTCTATTTGAAAGGGGCATTGGTCATTGCCAAGTCACAGCACCGCTTCCACAGGACTATTAAACTTTTGGCCATTTTGAGTAATGAAGTAATTTTTTCAACAATGCCTAGTATATTTTGTTCTGTACTCAAGACTACAACTACTTTCCCACCATCTGATCATTTAATATTTAGTTATTCGGTATCTCGTATAGCGATGCATTAAAATTGAACGCAAAAGTAAATATCTGAAACATGTCCTTGAATTAAGCTTGACATCGGACACATGTCAGCAAATGAATAAATTAACATACAGTGTGTGCTTGGTTTTTGTGCAAGAAAAATAGAACCTTAATTCTGAGAGCCAATGAAATTAATTCACCGTATTAGTTATTTGGTTCTACTGAAGAAATACTTTCTGTTTGTAGTAAATCTAAGTACGACTAGTTCCTGTAGCAGCCTACCAATAAGACGTAGCATTAATTGACGTGCTGGAAATAGAAAGCAGGAACCTCACGTTGATGTGAGGTTAGTGCTGGTGTCGTCTGATCTTCAGTCCTAAAGTTCAGAGAGTAGGTTACATCGAGTTATATATCGCTTTAGGCTGTCTGCTCTGAAGTTGATTCGAGAGATCTTTAGGATCTTTGCAAGGGTTTCATCTGGGTTCAGTTGGAGGGTATCTGGGAAGCATATTCTTCAGTCGGGGCACTCCGCCATCACATGCAGTACAATCTGGGGGACTAGGCAGTAGTTGGAGTAAGGCACTAGGCGGCGCTCTGCAAGGCATTTATGAGTGAGGAGTGTGTGACCAATCCTTAGACTACATAGGGCCGCTCTCATACGTCGTGATCTCTGATAGAATGGCTTCCAGGCTCGTACGTTTTCCTGGGCTTCAATTCCCATCGTCGCCATCTCTGTCAGCCTCGCCAGGATACCATGATGATGGGGTGCTTGCTATTGTACATTCTCAGTGCCTGTACAAAGCTTTTAGAAGCTATGAATAGGGTGAAGTGGGTCATCTAGTAGAATACCTGGTAGGTCTTCCACTAGAAGGGGTTAGGGAGCTAAGCACTCCACGGAGCTTGCAGTGAAGACAGATGAGTTGGGATTGAGTTTTCTTGTGATCGTTGCGGCACCGGACACAGCTGAACATCCCACTGCACCATCTGATTTGGAGCCATCTGTGTAGATGTGCGTCGATCCCGCGTGTTCCAAGTATATTTGGATTAAGAACATGTTTTTCAGAGCAGCCGGGTGTATTGTAGGTTTCCGCAGGGAGTTTTGGTAGGGGCAGAAAAAATCTATGGGGATGTGCTACGTGGGTACGCCGTTAAAATTAACAGGCACCACACTATCTGCGGTTACTGCTGCTGCCAGTTATGTTCCGTGGTCTTTGGATTATGGGATCGTATACGAGAGTAGGTTTGCTTAGTCATCGATCATAACGCTGTGCCATGTTGGGAACTGGGGTAGTCGTTCGAGGCAGGTTATCAGTTGGAGCGCAAGTTCTGCTCTGCTTAGGTTGAGTGGCGGTTCACCGCTTTCTGCATATAAGCTGATGACAGGTGATGTTCTGAAGTCGTCAGTGCATATTCTTTTAACTGCGTTATGGACTGGGTCTAATAGAGATAAAGTTGCTGTGCTGGCGTTGTGGCGTATTCGTATATTATGCTTCCCTAGTCTAGGTTGGACCTGATCGTTGCTCTGTAGAAGCGGAGCAGGGTTAATCTGTCGGCTCCCCACGTTAATCCAGCCACATGTTTCAGCAGGTTCATACTCTTTTGGCAGTTCCCTTCAAAGCCTGTATTTTGGGTTTCCTCAGAGTTTGCAATCAAAAGTCATGCCGAGGAACCTTGCGTTTGAGATAAGGTAATTGATCTTCCTAATAGGGACAATTGAGGAGGCTGAACCGTGGCGTGGAGCGTGCTCGTTGCAAGTGTACTGCAATCGTTTTTTCGCTGGAAAAGGAGAAACTGTGCACAGGAATCCATAAAATATATTTCTCAAATGTACGATACACCAAAAAACTAACAAAACTAGCCATCGTCTAGTGATTCTAGTCGTCTCCAACAATCTGTATTGAGATGTTTAATTTATCTATAACGTATTGAGGCATACAAAAGACCGGATTGATCCGCTTCAGCGAAGTGTCTCCGAGCAGCGATAGGCCAGCCAGGCCAAAGAGAGTATGGTACAAGTCAGGCACGTCTCCAGGCCTGTCTGTGAAGCCCCCTGTCTCAGGATCCTGTCATCAAATGAAAAAAAAATTAGTAATATGAACTTATACAATTAAATTTTTACCTGGCTCCAGAAATATAGTACATAGACTACTGAAATCGCAATGCTGTAATGCATAAAAATATGTAAACCATTCGAGTTCATATTGAAATGGATGAACTCTACATTTGCATTTGTATCTGTGGACGAGAAAATAAACTTGGTAAATTAGTGAATTTCGAATTAAAAAAAATTGTAGAGATTGCGGGAAATGTATATCCTTCCTCTGGACCTTTTTTTTCTGTTAGCAATTTAGAATATTCGCCAGTAAAAACCTAGCGTCGCGAATAATACTTTGCCAAAACCAAAATCTGCACCGATGGCACTAAAACAAATCTTCACTCGACAAGATCACTTTTAACATCATTTGACGTCCACTTTTAAAAGCGAGGAAACTTTAATTGAATCAAGAGAACACCGTTTAACATCTAATGAACTAACTAGTTCGGTAACAACTAAGCCCAGCATTGCGCAGTGTTCCTTGCATTACAGTTTCAAAATATTGACGGCACACATCTCATTCAGAGAAAAGTACTGGTCATAAGGAAGGTAAACGCACCTGAGTTGCCAGAATGAAAGTCCTCATTTTGTCAGGGTTGATCCAATGCAGCCTGTTGAGCAGCGTGAGCGATGACAGCACCCACCATGAGTAGCACACATCAGGTAGCTTCTCAGGCCTGCCATTAAGTCCTCCTGAAGGCAGCTGTCGCTCGCATAGCCACCAGCCCAGCGTGTCAAAATCAACTCGGTTCAGCTCACCTAGAGCAAGGCATAAAATAAAATATCAAGCTAAAACTACCTTAAATTAATAATTTATAACTGAATATTTCCAGATGCATTACATTATATGTAGCAATTCTTAGACTTTCCAATAGTTCATTGTTTTTATCATAAATAATTTTTAATTAGTTTAAAAAAAAGTGAAAGCATCCATAGAAACCATTTAAACAAAATCTCGAGTTACAGGTATGAAAGCTACAAATGTTTCGAATGCTTTGGTTTAAATTTACATAGCTATTCCTCATGGTGCAAATTTTCAGACCTACTAAATTTATTCACAGCCTTGACGAGCGATACTTTAGAAGTTCTTCAATTCTGATAAGAATCCAGAGTTTTTCTTCATGTTTTATTAGCAAGATCTAAAAAATTTGCACCTGATCTACAAATAACCATGGATGGGAAAATTTTTGAACAATGGCGACCCTCAGGCCAAATTTATTTTGGGAAAAAATTATAATACAGGCTGAAGTTTTTAGGTTGCTGAAATATGGAAAATTAATTAGTAAAAATATAACTTGCCTAGAATCGAGAGCATGCCTAAGCAGCAGTAGATCTGGCCAGCATGAGTCTCGGACCCAGGTCGTGTGCCAAAGCCACCATCAATATTGGAGCACTTCATGACGAACTCAACACTCTTCTCTTTGTTGATGGCATCCAGGCGGTTCTGTTGAACTGATAGTTAAAGCTGGTGGCAAAGTTGGAGCAGTTTTATCACTGAATACGGTATATAATGCTTTTACTTTCATCAGAAAATGTCTATTGATTTTGTTGCTCCATGAACTACAAGATATATATAAAATTTAGTATCCTAAAGATCTCTAAATGTACTAAAAATACATGAGAATAAAAACAACTCCTACCACCACTTACAAGAAGCCTTAGACAAGCTACAGCACAGAAAGAAAAGCGTGTGTCAACTTCTCCCCACTTGTCGCCATTGAAGGAGCCATCGCTGTTCTGTAGACCTGACACATAACGAACAACTCCTTCCACGTCTATGCTTGACACAGAGTCCAGCAGGACAAGGATCTGTATGTTGGCAAGATTTTTTTTTTGTAAGGCAGATTTAGGCAATTTATTCCTCATAAATAGCATGCTCATGATAAAATTCATTGTTATTATAAGATTTTAATTAATATATAAATTTTACATGTAATGCAAATGGCATTCATAAACAATTTTTTGACAGGGGTAAAGGAGCATCTACGATGAGAATTGTCCAATAAATTTTTTATTAACTGATGAATTTAAGAAAAAATGTAAACAATTAAGATCAAGTTCATTCTCAGGCAAAATTTTGATGAAACTATACTTCAGGCATTTCCAATTTGAAATAATGAAGTAGGTACGGTAGGATTGGAGTATAGTAGTATACGTATTATACATAATATTCAAATATTATATCATATTTTTTTATTTTCCTCTAAAAATAATGAAATTAATAGTATTGAAGCTACATATCACATATATGTTATTTAGAACTGGCTCCAAAATGGAACTTTGAATATCCTTAATGAAAGTAAATATCAGCCCGTTTCTGATGCAAGATCAGGGAAATCATTTGAATGATGCATTCACCTGCACAGCACTCAGAGTTGAGAGCATGTGAGGGTCGTGTTGGATGCTGGGAGCAATACCCCCTGATGTCTTGTCCTGACACTGCTGAATGAACGACACAATTTCTGTGTGATCCATGCGGCCAAGGCAGCCCAGTAGGTCAACAGCAGTAATTCCCCAGTACATGCCAGACATGCGGATGTGCTCGGTCATGGTGTATTCCTAGAAAAATTTTCAGAGTAGATAGGCTTTCTTGATTAAAATTTTATGTTAATGAACTAATGAGTATTGACATTTAATTTTCTTCAAAGAAACCCATATTAACAAGACAACATATTAAAACAGCACACATAGAATAACCTGAAATGTATACAGGGGTTAGACAAAATAAGGGAAACACTTGAGAAATCCACAAAATATATTTTAGTATGGTGTAGGTTCACTTTTTGCAGCAATTATGGCCTCAACCCTCTGAACTATTGATTCATAGAATTGTGACTTGTTTCCAAATGGAATTTTAACCCATTCTTCAGTTAAAACTCCCTCCAGCTATTTTAAAGACAAATCAACTTCTGACTTGCACCTTTAAAATAGACCTAAAGGTTTGATAATATTCAGGTCACAAGTAAATATGTTGCAAGTAAAAAGATGAAAACACTGAAATACTTAGCACAATGGCAATCATGAAAAGACTGCAAATAATAAATGCAGGAGGAAAATCAATGAAACTTCTGTCTCTTGAAATTAAAAATTGCAATACCAAAGGACTTGGTAGAAATACTCACAAAATCATCTTTCTTCTTAGAGTAGCTGACAATATATTCCACATGCTTGTCTCGCAGAAGTGTTTTAGGATGTTCATCGGTGATTGTTACATCTTTAGGATGATCAGCCTGCAAATGATACATAAAGGTCAGAATATAATCAGGATTCAGGAACCTTATAAACAATCTGCCTATTTTGGGAAGCTATGTTGCCCTACTTCAACCTATGAATGCAATGATCACTAAGTGCCATAAACTTACAAAATAATGATTCCTCTTTGTAGCTCGTGTTACTTGTGGCAACAGGCATGTGACTGGATACTCAGTGAATAGGTTTTGCATATTTTCAATAATAGAGTCTAAAATGATAAAATCTTACATAGTTTGCTATAATTTAAAATAAATAATATGTCCACATTCATAATTTCATGAAAAGAGATTATTTATCAGAATTATCAGATTGAGATTTAATAGTAGGTATACTATAGATAAACATCAAGTGGAAATGTGGAATACAGGAATAGTACTGGAAGTAAGTAGCTAGAAAACAAATTAAAAATTTGATAGAATCAAGCATTTCTGCAATTCTGCCATTAATTTGAATAATTTCCATTGCAAATACTACTCACCATTTTAAGTAGGTAGCCTATACTTAGAATTTAGACTTCAAGCTTGACAATAGTCCAAGTCCCAAGACCTTCAAGATCAAGCAGATAGATTGATTCAGAATTTCAGTCAGTTTAAAAGAAAAATGTTAGCTCTCACTCTTAGGCTGTGCTGCTGTGGTTCTCAACACTTCATAACCTATCTTAGGTCTGAAATAAAAGTTCTATGAGGAATGAGAGGTTAAGACTGGCCAGACACTGCAGACAGATATGGCAATTTCTACTGGAGCTGTACTGGGCATTCAGCAAAAAATAGTCTAAAAATCTGCATTTAAAAATTCCTTTTTAAAGACAACACTTCTGAAGAGGCCAGTGTTTCCAATCATCCAATGTTACACAATACACATGAACAATGAATAGGTATCTTATTTCCTTTAAAAATATTTTTGAAAATCATTTAACTTTTTTTAATATTTAAAAAATTTTGAATTTTCACAAATATTTATTATATTAATTGATTCATGCATTGTCTCCCCTCCGTCGTCCGTCCTCTCCGACTTTACGGCGTTTACGCTAGTCCTAGGGCTAGTGTGCTACATTTCATGTCAATCGACAATCAGACAGTTAGAACTTTAGAAGTGTATTAAATATCGATTTTAGGATTTGTAGCAGACAAACAACAGGAAGTGGAGTTAAAGAGAAGCGTTATAAAAAAATAACTGCGATCACATCCTAGCCCCACCACTCTGTGGCTCTGGCAGACTGGCACTGGACTGGGTCCTGGCTGGGAACCTGGGACTCCTGGGAGTTGGGACGACAATAGATTCTTCCGTTTCCAAGCCTCCGGTCCATCCATTCAAACTTAGTTATTCTCTATCTTGAATGTCAAAATAATAGCGGTTTCAGCCCTTTTTAGGCCGTAGGTCTGTCACCGAATCTTAATGTTGCAGAATACTTACAGCAATAACAGCATGTTGCGGTCATGATTCACTAACTCGCCACTTGTTACGTGTTTACATATTGATCAAATTAGAGTAGAACTACTATGCTGTCAATAGTAAGTCATGTAAGGCCAGCAAGCCTTCATACTTTAGTTGTAAATCAGACTCCACCAAATACAGTTCCCCAACCCTATGGTCTCGTCTCTGCCCATCTTCCTCCTTAGTTAGCTTGGACTTTGAAGTCATACGACTAGCAAACGTAACACCACTCACTGCTCCAATTTTGCTTTGCTTTAAGTTTAACCGCCCTGCCTCCTCGCCGATTCTGACCAGAAACTGGCGCACAGAGGCTGACAGAGCTGGAAATGGTATCAAACCCGAACCCGTACCTCTCGGTTCCAATCCTGGTACTCTGAACTTTAACCACATGCTAAGTTTCAAAGCGACTAAGCGCGTAGACTTGAAATTTTTTTAATTTTAAAATTATTTATTCCCACCATTGATTCATGCATTGTTTCCAACTTTACGCAAGTGTGCAAAATGTCAGATCGATTGAACAGGTAGAGTGTTAAATATCTGTTAAATATCTATTACGGTATAAGATTTGTTGCAGACGAAAGAGAAGTCTTATAATCACTGACCGGCGCAACTTTGATTGAGAAGTGATAGGAGTTAGATCCTACGACCGCAAAAAAATTGAATAATTAGTACGGTTTATTGGAAGGAATGTACCAAAATACTCATGGTTGAGCCGTGAAAATACCATAGTAACCCTATAAGAATTTTCTTTTATTCCTTACTTTGGAGTATTCTGTCTTCAAAATTTAATATATGCAACATGGCCTTACAGTACGGTCCAATATTATTTTATTACAAGCTTGTTTTGGAATTACAATTGTGTTTTCGCACATATAGTTTCACACACGCCTAGTTGTATTGATCGAATAAAATAAAATCTTTAATTTTAGCTGTATAGGTTGTTATAATGAATGGAAATGCATGCGAAAATAAAGTTATGGCAATAAAAGTGTGCATCATTCCTAATATTTTCATTTCAATCGAGAATTTTGACACATTTGTCAATGATAAAAATTAACCTCGTTTGGGCGCTTCAGACCATCATTATTATTCGTGCTATGTATATAAAATGTTGTCAGAGAGAGTAGCACCGTAAATATTCATTAGTTAGCCCTAGATAAATTTGTTGTCGTCAGTATTCTTGAGTCGGAGCCCATGCCTCTGCAGGTAATTATTCATTTAGCACTGTCGCGGCCTACGTAGGTCAATATTACGTATTTATGAGGCCGCAAAGCCACTTTAAGCGAACGGGATTGAATAAAGTATAAGCTGGTATGTCAGGCCTTTGAGTCTATCACTGACTACGTATAAGTAGAATATACGTTTAAAAATTACTTTTTAAAGATAACACTTCTAAAGAATCCACTGTCTTCCGTGTTAAAGATGTACAATGAATTTCTCATTTTATTTTCGAATATCAAAAAAATTAATTTTTAAATATATAATTTTTTTCAAAATTATTTATTCTGTCAATTGATTTATGCATTGCCTCCGACTTCACACAAGTGTGCTAAATTTCATATCAATTGGACAGGTAAAAATGTGGCAAATACCAGTTATAAGATTTGTAGCTGACATAATTATTTTTCCAATTTTGTTAGCATCAAGAAAAAATAGTTTTTAAAATCATTTATTTTGTCATTTGATTCTAGCATTGTCACTAACTTTATGCAAGTGTGCATAATTTCAGATCGATAGGATAATTAGAAGTGAATTAAATTTTGATTATGAGATTTATAGCTGACGGGCAGACAGACAGACAGACAAACGAACAAGAAGTGAAGTTAAAGAGAAGTGTTGTAATTTTTTACAACACTTCCGTTGTAAAAAATGAAAAAATGTTGTAAGTGAAAAATTGCGTAACTCATCGGAGCATGCCGCTACTGAAATAATAAAAATATTATAATATAAATAATATAGCGGTTTCATCGTTCTTAACCACCAGTTGCCCAGTGGTTAAGGGCAGGGTGGCCCAGTGGTTAGAAGTTCAGGTACCAAGATTGGCGCGGAGAGGCGCGGGTTCGATACCAGCTCTGTGCGCCAGTTTCTGGTCAGAATCGGCAAGGAGGCCGGGCGGTTAAGCACAGCAGAATTGTTGCAGTGAGTTGCGAGTTCGAGACCGCAAAATGCTGTGAATGTTCTGCGATGTTAAGAATCGGCGACAGGCCTACGGCCTAATAACGCTGAAACCGCTATTATTATTATTAGGCAATAGGCCTGTCGTCGATTCTTAACATTGCAGAACATCCACGACTTGTTGCGGGCTTGAACTCGCAACTCACAGCTTCAAATTTTCTTCGCATCCGCCCGGCCTCCTTGCCTCCATTGCCGGCCTCTATTAAATTAAAAGCTTAAATATTTTAATCGCCAAAAACTTGATTGTAAGATTTCAATGTAATTTGACTGTCTAATCCTATGCATATTGCAAGTTATCTAATCATTCAATAGCGTACTTATGAACTTTGTGCGGATGCGACCAAAAGTTAAATAAAATATGCGTTTAAAAATTACTTTTTAAAGACAACACTTCTAAAGAATCCAGTGTCTCCGATGTTGCACGTGTACAATGAATTTCTATTTTTATTTTCAATGTTGAAAAAAAGTAATTTTAATTTTTTTAATATTGAAAAAGGAAAAAAAATAAAATTTCAAAATTATTCTTTCTGTCAAATGATTCCTGCATTGTCTCCGACTTTACGTAGGTGTGCAGAATTTCAGATCGATTGAACAGGTAGAAATGTTTTAAATCTCGATCATATGATTTGTAGAAGACAAACAAACAATCAACAAGAAGTAAAGTGTTAAAGAGAAGTGTTGTAATCACTGACCGGCGCGAATTTGATTGAGAAGTGATAGGAATTACATCCTACGACTGCAAAAAGTGGAATTATTTATTTTATTTACGGTTTATTTACGGTTTATTGGAAAGAATGTACAAAAATAGTCTTGGTTGAGCCATGAAAATACGGTTTATTTACGGTTTATTGGAAAGAATGTGCAAAAATAGTCTTGGTTGAGCCATGAAAATACCGTAGTAACCCTAAAAGATTTTCTTTTATTCCTTACTTTTAAGCAGATGGGTCCCTGTCTTCAAAACTTAATTTATGCAATATAGCCTTACAGTACGGTCCAGTGTTATATTTTATTATAAGGTTGTTTGGGAATTATAATTCTGTTTTCATACATATAGTTTCATACATGCCTAGTTATATCAATTGAATAAAAGAAAAAAAATTTGATAATTTTAGCGGTATAGGTTGTTTTATGCATGGAAATGCATGCGAAAATGAAGTTATGGAAATAAAAGTGTGCCTAAATCTTAATATTTTCATTTCAATTGAGAATTTCGACACATTTGTCAATGATAGAAATTAACCTCGTATGGGCGCTTCAGACCATCATTGTTGTTTATTCGTGCTACGTGAATAAAATGTTGTCAGATGCCGTTTCACCGTAAATATTCATTAGTTAGCCCTAGAGAAATTTGTTGTTGTCAGTATTCCTGAGCCGGTGTGCATGCCAATCCTAATCATCCCGCATGGTGCGCCGTACTTCTGGCCCTGCTTTAAGTATTTATGGGGCTGCAGAGCCACTACGAGGTGATAGAATGGAGGAAGTGCACATTGAGATGTCTGGCTGTTGATTCTACCACTAAGTGCGTAAATGTATAAGTAAAAAATTGCGTAACTCATCGGAGGATGCCGCTACTGAAATAATGTAATTAAAATAACGGTTTCAGCGTTAATTAGGCCATAGGCCTGTCGTCGATTCTTTAACATTGCAGAACATCCACAGATTGTTGCGGCTTGAACTCGCAACTCACTACTTCAAATTTTCTTTGCTTAACCACCCTGACTCTATTGTCGGCCTCTATTAAATTATAAGCTCGAATATTTTAATCGCCAAAAACTTGATTGTAACATTTCAATCTAATAAGACTGTGCATATCGCAAGTTATCTAATCATTCAATAGCGTACTTCTGAACTTCGTGTGGATGCGACCAAAAGTCGAATAAAATATGAGTATAAAAATTACTTTTTTATACGCATATTTTATATGCGTTTAAAAAAGTAATATAATTTATAAGACAACACTTCTGAAGAATCTAATGTCTCCTGTGTTATTCATGTACAATGGTTTTCTGATTTTATTTTTAAATATAAAAAAATTAATTTTTAAATTTTATTAAT